TTAAGTTTTAACTAAGTTCAAATATCTCCTTTTCAGAATAAAATCGAACCTTAAATTAAGACTATCCTTATCACATAAGGATTTTCTTTAGGCAATAATGGCATGTTCCAACAAGCCAATTCCAGATAAGTAAATTAGTTTGATAAAGAACCAGATAGCTTACATTTAAATGGGTGAATTCAAAGCTAGCATACTTGGCCAATAGTTACAATTGGACTCTTGGTTGAATCTCACTTTAAAGATTTATTAGTCAACAAGAAGAACAATCTGTTAGATAGCAAACTCAATTAAATGCAGCTACTGGAGAAGGAAGCAAAAATACTATAAACAATTGTTTTAACCTAAGGAAGGTTACTGAATAGAATAATCACACAAAGGTTGGTAATGAACGATAATACTTAGCACAAGAACAACGCATTTAAGATTTTCCAGCGGTGTGTAGAAGTAGTAGTCAACTGCTAGTAATGAGTCAAGTGGATTCCACAATGAATCTGCACACTGCAGACCAACATACAGTATTTACTACTGTATTTATGTGAATGGGGATATAGCAACTATCATCTGTAGGTATGCTACAACAATGATGCAGTTTCATATATATGTGTACTAGAAAAGAAAAAAGTGTCTAGATTACTTAGCTAAAGAATCACACAGTGTATATTTAGACTTCAAATTCAAGGCTAATCAGTCTTCAAAAGTGATGAACTATTTTTCATGGAACATACACACCCCATCTCTTACCTGTGGAAGGAGAAGTCAAGCAGAAAGGAAAAAGAAATATTTGGATCAAATCATGGTCTGGTTCGAGTACAAGCTTCTAAATTTTTTCTCCCCATCACAGCTTTCTTTCTTACAATGTAGAAACCCAAACTTTAAAGAATTGTCAGTCACCAGTTAGATAGCAAATTCCTTTAAATGCAACTAGTAGAGAAGAAAAGAATAATATTATAAACAAAGATTATAATCAAATAATACTATATATATATATATATATATATATATATATTCATACATGTTTCATTAAATAATATAGACAAGTTTTGTCTATTTATTTTATGTATAATGTCTGATAAGCTTAATAGCATTATCATTAAACGAAGAAAGAAAACCACAATATGGGTACATATTTTTTTATCCAACATAAGCTTTCGGCTTACATAAGCCATTATCAAAAATGACAATTACTGTACAATATATTAAGCAATACACAGGCAAGAATGTGATGATAGTCTGTTTCTGTTTACATGGATGATTTCCAAGCAATGATAAACACATGCATATAAGACGCTAGAAGCAAAAATCGCACCGCAGCTCATGCCGTCATACATGACCACACGAGAGTGAATTCGAGAAGTATTAAGTATGGGAAGCCATTGGTATAAACCAATGGCTTCTGTTACCAATTATAGACATTTAAGAATATTTGTGGAGATTTCATAGTTTATTTTGTTTAGGTTAGGTTTCAACTGTTTATGTATATAGCCTCAAGAATTTTCAGTTTTTGTTTATTGTTTTCAAGTATAATTGTGTTTTCGACAAGGATTTTATGGAATTGTGTATGCAGCCAGGCACGTTGTTTTAAATGCCTAAAAATATTAGTTTTCATTCAAATGTAGTGTCAAGCGTCGTGAAAGCAAGTTTGTGTGACCAACATAATTATTATTTAATTCGTTGGAGATACAATCTCCCAAAGGGCACTTGAATTTGTATATATATATATATATATATATATATATATATATATATATCATATCACCCCATGCAAAGTAGTAAAGACACTAAAACACAAGAGGTTACAGAGTGTGAAAGAATTAGGAACAGAGACATTATTAATGAGTGAACAGAGAAACTCAAAAGGACAGTAGATAGTAATTGTAGAATAACAACACTTACCGGCGTAAGGGTCCCAGCTAGCAGACAAAAATAAAGCAGGTTGTAACTCAATACAAACCCCGCAAATTGACTGGAATCAAGCTGGTATTTATACAGAAATACCTCCACTCATTTACCAGCAGCCAATCACAGCCCAAGCAATGGACTATCCCACTTGAGCACAGTGAGATGCTCCATGGCACCATAAATAGCTCTCTTTCTCAATGTGGAGGGGTCTTTTTCTCAACTTGTTCCACAACTGAATGTTTATCTTCACAACATGATTGTTCTACAGTAATTAAAATTGCATTTAAATTTTTGCAGATTAATGTTAGCTGGAGATGGAAGGGAGTTCTACAAGCAAGAAAAGAAACTGTGAGCATAGAAGTTACAGCTATATCTAGCCAGCTCAACTGTGCAGTACTTGACACCAGTCTAGTAATGCATGTAAATTCATGTAGTCTAGGTACCATAACAAAGAGCTCATCAAAACAATTTCCATGAAAGTATTTATAGAAAAGGCACAAGGAAGCTACATTACAACAGTGAGAAAGTTACTGAAGCCAAGACACCAGGTCAGAACCAATAAAATTGCTGATGATTAGACATAGATATATAAGATAGATTCTGGAGAAAAAAATTGTCTCACCTGACATAGTGAAGCGACTTTCTTGTCATCTGACCTAGCAATGGTTTCAATATAGTCTTTCCACTTGATGTCAGCTGAGAAGGCACAACAAGTCACTTTCTTGGAGGTTAGCATCAGCCATGCCGATACCTCCAGGAAAGATTGGAGAAAAGTTTAATTTTAGAGGCATTAAAATTAACAAGCCATCTTTTGCCCCAGTTAACAACAGACTGGAGGTCATTTTTGATATCGGCTGCTATTTTGACCTTGGAGAGGATTGAGGTTTCACCTGGTATTTCCAAGATGAAAGTGTTCATGTCAACTTTGACCCAGGAAGAAACCTCAGTGGTGCAATTTTTAATTAGGAGGTTAAAGATGTCAGTCCAAGAGGTGTGACAAAGAAAATCATGGAGTGAGTTCCAATCAGCATGCTGGTACTGGAAAGTGGTCTTATGAATAGGAGGTTCCTGTTTAATGGATAATTGGAACAAAATATCAATGGATACCACAGAGTGCTCTGAGTTACCAAGAGTGCAGTGTTGTGAGGAGAGGAGGTGAGAAATTAATCAAGTAGAGATGCCTGTTGCTCAGTTTTGCTAGGGAAGTCAACAATTTGAGTAAGGGATTGGTCAATGGAAAAATTTAATGTCTGAATACCGACAATATCAGTACCTTTAGAATGTTTCAACCATATATTATGGTAAGCATTAAAATCACCAGAGAAAGATGTTCACAGATGATGCCTTTTCTATACTGTCAGCTATTATGTCTAATATACTGCAGTCCTGGGAGGGGAAGGTATGATAAAGAAAAAAAGAGATAGCTAACAGAGTTTAGTAATGAAAGATGGAAGCACATGAAAGAGTAGTCAGGGGCATCGAGAGACAATTCCCTGGCCATTGGAAGATATGTGTGTGTTTATGTATAGATAGAGAGATTGATAGATAAATAGATGTGCATAAATTAAAATAAAACTCAATAAAGACAGTATATCTGGAAAAGAGAAAAAGTATGTAGGTTACTTGGCTAAAGAGTCACAGAGCTTACATTTAGATGGTGAACTCAAAGCTAGTTAACATGGCCAAAAATGTAAGTTGTCATCTTGGGTGGACAGTCTTCAAAGTAATAAACTATCCTTTATGGGACTGACTCACCTCATGTTCTATTAGGGTGAGGGGAAGTCAAGCAGAAAAGAAATATTTCAGATTGTGGAGAATGCCTTCTTTGTCGTGTTAAGAGCTTTCCAGCAACACCTCAGATAGTACTAATTTAACATTTCTACAATATTGGCACTTTTTATGTCCATCCCTTTAGGAAATGAAGTTGATTAGGACTCTCCACAATTTTTTATAATCTGGAAATTCTGGAGAAAGGCGTGGTTTCCCCATTGCACTCCTCACAATTTAGAATTCAGTTTAACTTCCCTTGGATTGCTTACCACTCAAAATTAGAGAGCTCAATCTATCCTACTTTATAACCCATAGCTGGAGGTAAAAGATATGGCTTCATGCATTTTTCAAAGGCATTAATTTAAAAGTAAATGCAACATATTTGCCTGGAATTTGATCTCTGATTACTCTCCATAAAAAATTCTTTGTTGTGAATTAAGACTGATTCATATTCTTTCTTTTTTTTTAATCATTTCACCCCAAGCAAGGGGAGAATGCTCCTAGTACACAAGGAGTTACAGGGAGGAGTGAGAGAAAAGACTGAATATAGGGAGGATTGAGGAAAGGATGAAAGATAAATGGGATTCAAGAAGACAGAAGATGGCAATTGACATTCCATTTAAATATTTGAAGTTTGTAGTTATCATCGAAGCAATTAAATGGAAGAGAGTTCCACAGGAGAGAAGTGCAAGAAAAGAAACTGTTGGAGTAGAAGTGGTGGTTGCATTTAACTAATTCAACAGTAAAAGGGTGGGACCTAAATGACAATCTCGTAGCATGCTTAAATTTGTGTAGTCAGAGCACCAGAGAAAAAGCTTATCAGCAGCTGCCATGAAAATATTTGTAGAAAAGATAGAGACAAGTGACATTGTGTCGATGAGAAAGTGCCAAGTCAGGATTGATTACATTGCAGATCCTTCTTTGGGTTTTGTGAAGAACCTCTAGTTGAATTATAGGAGCACAAGACCAGATATGGCAGCAATAGGCACAATTGAATGATTTGTAAATGTGCAAGATAAACTTTGGCATGACACAGTGACTCAGATTTCCTTGCAGAAGATGCAACAATTGATAAGATTCAAGTATTGTTAAAGATAAAATTAACAAAATGAGAAAATTTAAATTGACATTCTGTCCTGATTTTATCTTTCTCTCTTTGAAGTAAATTTCACAAAACTCACTTTTTGATTTCAATGACTGCAGCTGCACCATTATTTCTTTCAAATAAGGAATAAGAAAGCTTTGGAAGTATTTATTCATTGACTTTTCATTATAAAATTTACTTGTCAACTTTTTGTTTTGTTTTGTTTTTGCCATTCTTTCTTTGATAGGAAGAAGAACTGGTTCCTGGTTTAGGAGTAAAGATTCCAGAGGCGGAACTGACTCGGATACAATTTAATGCTACCAGTGCCAATGATCCAGCTGTTTTAGTTATTGCTCTTCTTCAACACTTCTTTTCTGATGAAGTCCTTGCAAGATCTACAGCTACATCGTGTCGGGGAAAAGGACGAGCCAAACATTCCACAGCCAGACCTCTCAATCAACGGATAATGCAGGCTATTCGAGGTAAGGGCATTTTTTCAGTTTCTTGAGTATTATCAACTTATTATTTTGCAATTAAATAAATTGTTTCTCAATAACCAGCAGTAATAGTTTAGCATGGTCCTTTGTAAAATGAGCCAAATTTCTGAACGCAAATTCCTTCAAGATGTCCTTAACCTTATTTCTTATCAGCAGCAAAAATACAAAAAGTATGAAATCCTGACATTTTTTTAATACTTGTATGGCATCCATTGGTCTTGAGGGAAACATGGATCTGCATCCAAAGAGTTATTAACTCTCCAGTGTACAGGCATAGACAGGGTTGATTTTTTTTGTTTTCTTTTTATGAAAGATCAACAGTTGTCTATGCAGTATATCTCCCCTTTCCACATCACAAATGTTGTTCAAGGGAAAGACAGAGGCCAATACAGCTTGGCATCATCACAGGAATTGCCAGAATGAAATTGAACATGACACTGGACTGTCTGAGAGGCTCTGGCTCTGGATTTGAATTCAGAGTTGTCCTATTAGTCTGGTTGTGAAGCATGACTACAGAGCACAAACTGTCCTACTATATACTCATAGTTGGAGGTTTTGAACTCAGAATTTTTCCTTCTTCTAGACTAGTTGCTGCTCAAGGTCTTTCCTGCTATTTACCCATAGCTGAGGGGAGAAGAAATGGATTCATACCTTTATCAAGGATATGAGCCCATAAGTGAATATCATGAATTCAACTGGAATTCAAACTTGGCTCTCTGATTTCTCAATCCAAGCCACAATCCATTACGCCACTATGCCTCCAATTACTTATAGTACACTATATTTTTGTTGCCAATAACACTAATGAAATTTATAGCTGTGCAGCATAAAAAATTTGCACAGCAACCGATACATAGACACTGTTTAAATTGGAAGTCTCAGGCATAATCCCATTCCTTGTCTCCAAGACCATTTTGTTACAGTCAATCAGTGTTTCTGGCTACAAAAGTTACCCAAAAGAATATACAGTCTACTTCTGTTTTAGAATCGGTTTTCACACAAATATAGACTGGTTGCCAAGCAAGTCTAAAGGTGCCAGTCAGTCCTACTATTTCACATTGCTGGTGGTAGAAGTTGATTCAAGGACATTAGTACATTTACAATATAACCATCTACCAACAAAATAACACATGTTCTCTTCACTATAATTTAAGTCTTTTTGATATAGTGTGTGTGGGGAGGAAACCTGTCTGTCTGCCTAGAAAATCAGCTTTTGAAGTCTTAGTTTTTTTTACCTCCACTCAAAGTAACTGTAGAAAGCCATGACTGAATTTCTTCTTTTTCTCATTAGACAGCAAAAATTAAGTTCAAATTCAGCTGGAGGCATGTTCACTGACAATGGCCCATGAAACAAACATGCCAACCACTGCTTTTTGACTGGAACCTTCTCACATATTCACCTTTTTAGAATATCAAAAAGAACAAGAATATGCACTTACATTGTATAACATTTATAACATGTTGTATAGACTTTGCAAAAGCATTAGACAAAGTATAGCACAAGAATATATTTGAACTGCCAGTGAAACGAGATCTATTTGGGAAAAAAACATGCCTCTTATAAATTAATGTGTGAGTAACTAGTGCTCGACTAACACCTAAACTATAATGTTTGACACACTAGATCTCTGTTGACCCTCGTCTTAACTATATATATATAAAATGTCATTCGCAGACAGTACTGTTTCACTGTATCACAGCTCCTCAGTGTGACTAGACATCAGAATGCTTCAATTCAGGATTGAAACCCAACTGATGTCATGTCAGTCAGAGTTTCTACCACTGAGCTATCATCATTTGGCAGAGAAAAACAGCTAATTCTAGTGTATTGTTTTTATGAATGTAAACAAACGCCAATCTGTCATAATGCTCCAATTCATTTTACTGAAGAGCTTTGCATTAGCATAGGTGGCTGTTGTTTATAGAATCAGTCTATCTCTCAATTGAAATATATTTACAAGAGCTTAATTAAATATATATATATATATATATATCATGGTTGGGCACCTCGGCATGGTGTAATGGTTAGCAGGCTTGTCTCACTAAAACAGTTGAATAGTGAGTTCGATCCTCACTGGATGCCCCACACTCTTGGCTGTGTGCCACATCTAAGCTATGCTTAGAAAATCAAACACCTTGGCATAGTGTAATGGTTAGCAAGCTTGTCTTGCTAGATCAGTTACGATTAACAAGTGAGTTCGTTCCTCATTAGGTGTTCCATACTTTCCGCCACATGCCACATCTAAGCTACGTTTAGAAAATAACTAAAGATATCATGGCTTGGCTTCACAAAACGCAGATCAAGAGGGGGTCTTTTCATATTGATTGCAGGCAATGTTTCTGACTGATAAGTCCAATGTGGGACAGGCATATCTGGTTGCAGCTGAAAGTCAGGCCTTACATATATCATTAATTATACATGATTAAATTATGACTATGAACATACTTTTAAAATATAAAAAGAATATATATATATCTGGCTTCTGGATCAATGGCTTGTCAGTCTAGTTCAAAACCAGCAAACATGATATAGTTAGAATTCACTTGCACAGCTACTTTGCTTTGGAACAGACACCTGAATGTTTTCATATGGCACTACATGAAGATTGCTATTTGTTGTCTGAGGAATGATGGCCTTTGAGCATTGCTAAGCCAATATTATTCTAAACTCAAAAATAGTGATTTGACAGATTTTCTGCAAGATTATTGCTTTCTTGAGCAATCATCTTTGTCTTTTGTATTTATTATATTAAAATTAACAAAGTTTGTATTGACAAACCAGGGATGTCAGGTTTTTGCCTTTGAGCTAAGAAGCATGACAATGCAAAATGGGTACCTGAAACAAGATTCTATTTCTTCATGCCTGACTTAACCAAGATGATTCAGACATCTTTGCAAACAGCTAACCTTCCATAGTGTCTCATTTTGAAAATGAATAGATTTGCATAAAGCCAGTAATAGTAATATTCACTCTTATTATGTTATCACATCTCCAAGTTATTAAAAATGTTTAACATACAAAAAAAAAATGCCTATGTTGATTATGTGAAGGTTATTAGATTGATTAAAATTTGCATTAAATGTTCTTTTCTTCCCATATCTCTACAGAATATGCCACAACATTTGCACAAAAAATCAACCGAAGTCTCACAGAGACACAAGTTAACCGAATAACAGCAAACAAAATTGGCACTGCTAAAATGGCTCTGAAACGGCGCCAGGAAGATCGTAATTTGAGTTTGCACAGCCCAAATAGAAACAAAGTAAAAAGGCATTCCACTGCAACTGATACGCTGAACACTGAAGACATTTTGAACTTTTCAGATGAACAGCTCAATTTTGTTATTAAAGTGGAAAAAGATGAATTTAATCAACCTTTATCATAGTTTTGTTACATTCATTATATAAAAATATTTTTCATATACAGCTTATTTTTCTTTAATATACAAAGTTGCAATAAAACTTTTTTTGACAACTAAACCGTCTTTCTCTTTTGATTTCAAGTTAGCACTTTGAGATTCATTCAATTTTATATTCTAGCCTGTTTTAAAATTGTTTTAATGCCATGTCTAACCAGATTTTTTTTTAGTTTTTATTATGTGTGAATTACCATGCCATTTCTTGAGAAAGATCTTTGGCAAGGATGCTGGAACAAGAAATGTGATATTTGTCATTAGAATTATATCAGTTAGAGCAATACAGATGCAGAAGGATGCGCATTTATGTTTTATAGTTTATGTAGAAGCATATGACAAAGTACAGCACAAGGATCTATTTGAACTGCTAGGGAAACTAAATCTATTTGGGAAAAGCATGTTCAGTTATCAGTACTAGACTAACATCTTAACTACACTGTTTAACACACTAGATCTTTGATGGCTCCTGAATGAAATAAATAAATATATATATATATATGTGTGTGTGTGTGTGTGTATATAAATAATTATTTATATATTATATGAGCAGTACTTATTAGAAAACGCTCAATATCAGAGATAGAGCTAACATATTTGGTTGGATTGATGTGAGTTTGTGATCCTGGGTTTCACGCTTTTGCAAAAACATGAAACCTAGGGTCACAAACTCACATCAATCCAACTGAATATATATATATATATATATATATAGTTAATTATACATGACTAAATTATAACTACAAACATACTTTTAAAATATAAAAAGAATATATACTTATAGGTTATGTATCAGGTAAATGTTATCAGTGTCACTTACGCAGTGTAAAATAAACCTCTATTTCCTGAATGGCATAAAATCATTAAGACCAAGATTAGTGGGTAATGGTGGATTACACAGCAAACAAATGCTGAAAACACAGGACTGTAATTGTACCACATGATCCACAAAATGTTACTGATGAATAATGACATTATGGGAGTATATTCAATGGTTGGTTTCCTCAACTCCAGCATAAGCAGGCCAGCCATCTTTGGGGCTGAATATACTGCACAATCACTTCTTTCAAAGTCTCTACTCACTCATCTGGCACCTCAACTAAGAAACACTTTCTTGAACCCCACTTGAGACGACTGAATAGCGAATGAAAAGGGCAGCATTAACCATGGTAATATTTACAATGAAAAAAAAAATTAAAAGATAGAAAATGGTTGTTTATTTTATATTGTTTAAATGTAGCAGAACTTTGACAGATTATTTTACACTGCTTATGTGAAGAATTACTGTTTTTCTGAACTATAACTTTGTATTATATATCACGATGAACTGTAACAGTTAGTAAAAGTAGATCTATTAAGAAAGTTAAAATAATCCAGAACTTCTACTGCCAAAAAAATACAACCTCCATATATGGATAGAAAATGAACTGAGCAGCTATGCAAAAACAGAAAGGGGCATGAAGCAAGGGTGAGTCTTCAACCTCTACAGTGATGATAATCTAAGGGAACTGGACACCCTACCAGTATTTATTATTGGCAGGCATAATCTTAACAAAATAAGATATGCAAATGAAACTCTGTTGATGACTGACTCAGAAAGAAAATTACAGAGTAGAAGTAGAAAGCAAGAAAAAAGGACTAATCATCAACTGTAAGAAGGCAGAAAATAGGATCATCAGCAAGAGAAAAAAAAAACAAAATGCAAGTTACAAATTGGAAATATCAACATCAAACAGAAGCAGAAAATTAAATTGCTTAAAAGTGTTTTAAAAAAGTATGAAAAATGTTACACCAAGGTCCTTACTTGCACTGGACTAGTGAAAGAAAACATTTTAAAATCTAAGCAAGGTACTGAGAAATTGCATTAGAAACAAACAAAAGAATTCTGAATTGCTATGGGATATCCATCCCCTTATATGGCAGTGAATATGGGACAATATCCCCATGGATGAGGTTAAAACTGGAGGCTGCAGGTACAGTCAACAACGAAAATATTCGTACACCTATCAATTTTGAATATTTTTATCCATTTCTCAGAATCTAATGTTCATATGATGCCAGGTTTTTATATGTTCATAAGCACAAAAAAAGGAAAATAAAATAATACAACAAATTTGACAGGAAAATTATGCAAAATAGGAAAAAAACAAAATTATTCATACAGTATAAAAAATTAAACAATTTTCACAATATTAATAGTCAATAGCATGGCCTCTCATCTTTACAACTTGCTGCAATCATTTTCTAAAGTTTTTGATGAGATTTGAACAAGTCTCTTCCAGGATTTTCATCAATGGTTACACATTCTAACTCCTGATGGATTTTTCATGACCAACAATTTATTCGAACTTTCAATTCTTGCCATAGATTTTTTATAGGATTCAATTTAGGACTCCTTGAACTTCATAGCAGAACTGTAATCTTCTTTTTCTGAAGCCATGCAGTCACTGACTTAGATGTATGTTTGGGATCATTATCTTGGTGAAAAGTAAATCACCGACCAAGATGAAGATTTTGCACTGATAGTTACAGATTTTCATCCAGAATTTTGATATAGCCTGCAGATTTCATTTTTCTTCTTATTCTAATTAATTGTCCAGCCCCGCTTGAGCTAAAACAACCCCAAAACATCATCAAGCTGCCTCCATGTTTTAATGTTGCCTCTTTGATCTTTGGGAGGAAAGACTCACCTTTCTTGTGCAAAATCTTCTGTACATCATTATGTCCAAAAAGCTCAATTTTTGTTTCATCATTCCATCGTACTTGTTCTCAAAAGAATGTTTTGGCAAAATTAAACCAAGCAACAATTTGACATGGTTTGTGAAGAGTGATTGGTCAGTTTGCATACAATCCATTTCTATTTAAACAACATTGTATTGTGCTAGTATTTATGCTGATACACATCGTTTCCAAAGTTTTTGGTGATGTCTTTCAAATCAACTCCTCGGTTTATATTAACCTTGCGGCACAGTTTTCATGCAGTTCTGGGTGACAATTTGTTTTTTATTTCCACACCCAAGCAAATTCTCTGTCGTTCCAAACTGTTTAAACTTCTTTATGATGGACTGTACTGTAGATCTACCAGCTAACCAGTTTCAAATACGACTAACTATTTCCCTGACTTGTAGAAGTTAATAACTCTGTGTCTCAAGTCAATACTAAGCTCCTTTGTCTTCCCCTTTGTTAATGTAAGAATAACAATGGTGATACTCTATTCACCATGTGATGTTCTTTGCTGGAATTATCACAAATATTCTACTTAATAAATAGTCTAGGAGGCTTTACTAATAAATTATGAAAATTACTGATACTTACATGAATCAATCAATTTAAAACAATATCTTCTACTGTACAAATAATTTTGTCTGTTCTTATATTACATAATTCGCCTGTCAAATTTATTGTATTTAACCTGTTGTTCTGAAAATTGAGTTTTATATTCCTTTTTCTTGTGCTTATTAATATGTAAAAAAAATCTGGCTCTATATGGGCATTAGATTCTGAGAAATGCATAAAAATATTCAAAATTGATTGGTATATGAATAATTTCATCATTGACTGTACTCAAAGAATTAAGAATTCCATGAACAAAGCGAGTAAGCAACCAAGAAGTCTTAAAATGGCAACAGAAAGAATTTTTTCTACTCAGAATCAGGAAGAAATAGAGATAATTCCTTAGAGGGGGGAAGTCTTGGAAATCTTTACCCTCACAAGCATTTTGAGAGTAAGAAAGATAGGAGGAAGCAGTAAGCTGCTTACCTGATGAGCTTGAGTGAATGGATGGCAGAATGAGGTAGGCTCAGCAAAGGGAGAAAAACTGCTAAGAGCCACATGAGATAGGAAGTTGTGGAGAGTCATGAAGAAGTGGAAAGATTTCCTGATGCCTTCTCCATAATTTTGAATATAGAATTGTTTTTCTCTTAGACTGGCCAACAACCAAAATTACATACTATTTAACCTATATTGGCTTATAGCCACATCATGTTGAAACTCTGGTTCCTGGAGGATTACAAAAGTTAAGAAATGTTGAGAATGGCCAATTGATGGGTGACTGCTTGGAAATACCAGGTGTTGTATGCTTGGATGGGCGAGTGGTGTAATGGATAACGGCTCAGAATTGTCAATTGGAGAGCTGAGTTCCAATTTCTGTTGAGTTTGTCATATTCACTTACATGTAAATACTCTTGGGAAAGGTATGAATCCAGCTCTTCTCCCTCCAGCTATGGGTTAATTATTAAAACTTGTATCAATAAACCATTATTATCTCAAAAAAAAAAAATTCTTACAATTTAAAAATATTTTATGGCTTTCAGCAAAGGATTGATAAGCTGTAGAAAACAAATCAATCCATATATTTAACTCATGACTCACTCTCCTCCCCAATCTTTCGTACATGAGTAGATGTTTATCCATTGTTTCCTGTTTAGAATTAGTTTTCTGTTTCTTTCTAAAGTCTTTTCATCTCTTTCACTCCCAGTATCCCCTTGTGTCTTGTCGTGGCATTATCACCTTGCTTGGGGTTGATTTGATTTTTAAAAAAAAACTTACTTCAAACATTATTATAGTGGATAGTGATTTACTAAGCATAGCTTAGATGTAGCACAAGGCCAAAAGTATGGAGCACCAGTGAGGATCGATGGTCATAATTAATCAAGCAAGACAAGCTTACTAAACATTACACCACATGAAAGTGCCAAGTTATCATAGTAGATACTCCATATTTGAAATAGACACCCTCTTTACATTTATTAAACAGTATGCATTATGTTGGCCAGTTCATTTGGAAAATCTTAGTAAAAAGAAAAATGCATTATATAGCGCTAATATAACCCCACACAGTAACCCTCTATCTTGAGTGGCTCTTGAGCCTTGTATTAGGCAAATGAAGGAGAGAATGATACTTACCTTTCCCAAAAGTACAAGTGCAAAAGCAAGGCTGTAATTTGAACTTGCCAATTCCCCTATCTTGAGTG